GCAAAAGAATGTAAGAGGGGCATGGGGACATGACTAATGAACAGAGGAAATGCTATTTTAGTGCCAAGAATGTCTTTCTTGTTTATTCTGGACCCTATTTGGAAATTGGCATCTTTTGAAATTTGTGTGAAATTGGCAAAACTGCTAAATTCTGACCACTGTACTGGATAGTTGAAAACGGAAAATGGGTGGTTTCTTGTACTCATTCGATAGAAAAAAATGGAGTTCTGGAGAAATAGTTATGATTTTTGTCGATTAGTACACTGGAATTGGCCGAAAATAGGGCTCAAAGTGGGCAAAATCGCCCATGCGTAAACATCGTCAAGACCGCTAACTTCACGATAGCATAATTCCGTAAGTTTTCCATCAAATTTCATACTTCTGGTGTCATTATGATCGGGAAAAGATTCTCTATCTTTTCATAAGAAAAAATTATTTTTTTTTTTAAATTTGGCAACCCTGAGAACACATCTCGGAGAGGGCCTGGCGACCCTGAAAGGGTTAAAATCCAATGAAATGTGACAGTTTTCCCAATACTACGTATACAAGAGATTTCAAGAAAGTAAACTGTATAAAATGAGTCTACCATGTAGGGTCTTGAATCTCAAAATTCTCTAAGCACTTTGCAATGTCAAGAATGTAATTTTCTTCCACTTTTGTCTTTTTATGATATTAATTTGATTTCTCTTTCAGGAGAGCCAAAAACAATAATAGTCTTTACACAAATAACCTCCACATAGGGGAAAGACTTATGACGCCATTTCAGTCCAACTTTGACAATTAACAAATCACCGAAATATCGTCACAAGTTTCTTTCTATGTGTAGGTTATCTGTGTATTCTGCCAGTCATGGTATTGTGCCTTTTTGTTCTTTAATAATAGCCTTTATGCTATACATAGTTCCTCTGAATAGCTTAGAATTATTTACCATTTCTTTATATTTCAAGATAAATGCTAGCCCTAGCTGTAAATTCCTGTTCCATTTGTTGTTTATTTATTTTAGATTAGCTATCTTCTATTTTAATTTGGTATAATATTTAATACACCAGAAAAGGAAGCACATTCATCATCATTCATTCAACAGCTAATTCTGTCAGAATTAAACCATCACAATTCAAATGACCCCTCTGAAATGCAACATTCTCAACTCTCCTCCAAAGTGCAGGCACTGTACTTCTCACCTCCAGGACACAAATCTAATTAACTGACTACCCTGAATCTCATCATTAATGTTACCTCCTTCACACTTAAACAGCATTGCTGTTTAAAAAACTGTTAGTCTCCACTGATGTAACACTCGCACAGGCCTGCTGGATGCTCAAGCTCCTTGTACACAACACCCACCTTTACTTCCTCCCTCCAACCCTTCCTGGGATGATCCCAACCCCTACCTATTATGACTTGTAGTATACAGTGGACCCCCGCATAGCGATATTAATCCGTGCAAGAGAGCTCATTGTTATGCGAAATTATCATTATGCGAATGAATTTTCCCCATAAGAAATAATGGAAATCAAATTAATCCGTGCAAGACACCACAAAGTATGGAAAAAAAAAAAATTTTACCACATGAAATATTAATTTTGATACACACAAACTGAAAAAGGCATGCACAATTACATGACACTTACTTTTATTGAAGATCTGGTGATGATTGATGGGATGGGAGGAGGAGAGTGTGCTAGTGTTTAGAAGGGGAATCCCCTTCCATTAAGACTTGAGGTGTCAAGTCCTTTTCTGGGGTTACTTCCCTTCTTCTTTTAATGCCACTAGGACCAGCTTCAGAGTCACTGGAGTTCTGTCTCACAACATATCTGTCCATAGTGGCCTGTACCTCTCGTTCCTTTATGACTTCCCTAAAGTGTTTCACAACATTGTCAGTGTAATAGTCACCAGCACGGCTTGCAATAGCTGTGTGAGGGTGATTTTCATCCATAAAGGTTTGCACTTTCAGCCACATTGCACAGATTTCCTTAATCTTTGTAGTAGGCAATTTCTTCAATTTCTCTCTCCCCTCCTTTGAACCAGTTTCCTCAGGTCTGGCCTCATGCTGTTGAAGTTGATCTATCAGCTCATCAGTGGTTAGTTCTTCATTGTCCTCCTCCACCAACTCTTCCACATCATCCCCACTAACCTCCAACCCCAAGGACTTTCCCAATGCCATAATGGATTCCTCAACTGGCATAGGATTCTCAGGGTTAGCCTCAAACCCTTCAAAATCCCTTTTGTCTACACATTCTGGCCACAGTTTCTTCCAAGCAGAGTTCAAGGTCCTCTTAGTCACTCCCTCCCAAGCCTTACCTATAAGGTTTACACAATTGAGGGTATTAAAGTGATCTCTCCAAAACTCTCTTAGAGTCAGTTGAGTTTCTGAGGTCACTACAAAGCATCTTTCAAACAGAGCTTTTGTGTACAGTTTTTTGAAGTTTGCAATAACCTGCTGGTCCATGGGCTGCAGGAGAGGAGTGGTATTAGGAGGCAAAAACTTCACCTTAATGAATTTCATGTACCCATAAAGTCGCTCTGCCACGTCTGTAGGATGACCAGGGGCATTGTCTAACACCAGGAGGCACTTAAGTTCTAATTTCTTTTCAGTTAGGTAATCTTTCACATTGGGGGCAAATGCATGGTGTAACCAGTCATAGAAAAAGTCCCTAGTGACCCATGCCTTACTGTTTGCCCTCCACAGCACACACACATTTTCCTTGAGGACATTCTTTTGCCTGAATGGTCTGGGAGTTTCAGAGTGATACACTAATAAAGGCTTCACTTTGCAATCACCAGTAGCATTGGAACACATCAACAGAGTAAGCCTGTCTTTCATAGGCTTATGTCCTGGGAGTGCCTTTTCCTCCTCAGTAATGTAGGTCCTGCTTGGCATTTTCTTCCAAAACAGGCCTGTTTCATCACAATTAAACACTTGTTCAGGTTTCAGTCCTTCAGTTTCTATGTACTCCTTGAATTCCTGCACATATTTTTCAGCTGCTTTGTGGTCCGAACTGGCAGCCTCACCATGCCTTATCACACTATGTATGCCACTACGCTTCTTAAATCTCTCAAACCAACCTTTGCTGGCCTTAAATTCACTCGCATCATCACTAGTTGCAGGCATTTTTTTAATTAAATCCTCATGCAACTTCCTAGCCTTTTCACTTATGATCACTTGAGAGATGCTATCTCCTGCTATCTGTTTTTCATTTATCCACACCAATAAGTCTCTCAACATCTTCCATCACCTGCGATCTCTGTTTCGAAAACACAGTTAAACCTTTGGCAAGAACAGCTTCCTTGATTGCCTTTTTGTTGCCCACAATAGTAGCGATGGCTGATTGGGGTTTACTATACAACCTGGCCAGCTCGGAGACACGCACTCCACTTTCATACTTATCAATGATCTCTTTCTTCATCTCTATAGTAATTCTCACCCTTATTCCTGTAGGATTGGCACTAGAAGCTTTCTTGGGGCCCATGGTCACTTATTTTGCAGATAAAATCACCAGAAACACTGTAATAATACGAAATGTTCCGATTGTATGCTTGGATGTTACCGCGGAGGCTGGCTGGTAAACAATGCCACCGGCGGAACATGTGAGGCTGGCTAAGGGCGCACATTAGACGCGTCTCAGACGAACAGCGTTGAGCGGGTTTTTTAGCGGTATGCGAGGCAAAATCTTGGAGATAAAATGTAGCGGTATGCGGATTTAACATTATGCAAGGCCAACGGTATGCGGGGGTCCACTGTACTGCTAAACAAGAAACCTACCCTCTTGCATTGAATACTGTTGCAATGTGTAGTAAGGAAGGTATATAAAGCTGAACTCAGCAATTCTTTTGTGGAGATAATGAACTGGTGGGCGCTTGGGCAGGGTGACAAGCTAGGTTAAATTCAGATATCAGTGTGTCAACACTTAACAAATCTCCCGCTGAGAACAAAAAATAATGACTGTACGGCAAATTCTGAAATACAGTCAATCTCCACTAGGAAAACCAGTGTTACAAAGAAACATGAGTGCATAATCCACAGTATAATCAGATGAAGTGTAAAAGTTTGTTTCGCGGTATGCATTCAGGTGTTATGAACAAAGGGATAAGATATCACCCTATTGCGTAAAGAGTGACCATAGTGACTCCTTATCAACGAGGTCAACTATGCATCTGTAGCGGCCTACTCAAAACATCAATACCAGGGTTACACCTCCCCTACAACAAACTAGGGGAAACTGGGTCAGTTACAATACCCAGGCAAGTCCAGCCATACCCACACATAATTACGTTAGCTACAGCTAATAGGTAGGGGTTAGATTTGACTGGAATTACCAATAGATCCTGTGACGTGTGGATGATTCACCCAAAAATAAGTACCACTACGCATTTCAGAAGATAGTGAAATGCTGAAATATACGCTCTTTTGGAGTAAACTGCATAACAAACTTGTTAATCAACAGCCACTGTGGACTGGGACGGCAACCCAAAGGGATTTCCAGGGAGAGGCAGCTGCTGTTAAAAGATAAGTAACGCTTGTCTTGTTTGTTACATGCAGGAAAGTGTACTTATCTAACCAGTTCTCCACACCTTTTACCCCTAGATTTATGCACCTTCTTTGGACATCCAATTCTGCTCCATCCTCTCTAAATGACAAAATTACACCTTTGGCAACTCGCCTAATTTCTACACTCTGAATTTTCTGCAGATTTACACCATTCATTCCTCTCTAATATGACATCTCCACTGCCTCCAGCCACCACCTCACTAACACTTAAAACCTATGTCTTAAACCCATATTACAGTGTTGGTACCACCATACTCTGCTTTTTTGCCTCCATAAATAAACTTGTTTCTTTGATAAATGCCTCAGACACCATCTACCTTTTCCCCCTTGTGTATTCTACAGTTTACTTTGTCTTTTATAGACCAGCTGTTAACCCGTCCACTCCCAAATATGTACCTAAGTACATTCATCTAAAATTATTTAAAAACATGCACAATGTTGCAATAATTACCTGTGGTGTCATGGGATTGGGCAGCAGTTGCTGTGAGTAGACAGGATATACAATGTTAGGCACTGGTGTTGAAGGTGGTTGAGGTGCAGGCACTCGTGGAGGTCTCTTACATGGACTTGATTGTAAAGATGGTTCATCTGAAATTTTTTTTTAAATTCTCAAGTGAATACACCTACCATCCGACTTACGACCTGTTCGACATAGACCACTCAACTTATGACTGTGTTTTGTATGCCAGATTTCTGGAAAATAAGCAACTGCGTTGTACACAGTGTTCATCCTAAACCTTACAGTATAAAATACAGTACTAACAGCATAAAAAGTTATGTAAAAAATTAAATACCAGAATAAAACAATAAAATAAAGTCATTACAAAAATGTGATGTTGATATTCAGTAGTAAGGTTCGACTTACGTCCATTTTGACTTACGACCGGTTGGTCGGAACCAAGCTCGGTCGTAAGTCAGATGGTACCTGTACAGTATATTAATTTGCCCATAAAATCTTCATTAATAAATATTACTATATTTATGGAAAGGGAGCCATGTGATGGATGATGTATAGATCACCTGGCAAGCTATGAAAAGCGGCTAAGAGTTTTTATGCTGAATGAGGCTGGTTAGGTAATGTAGGAGAGACGGGGCTCACTATTTCCTAGTGAAAGTAAGACCTAAACAAGAAAATGCAACATCTCCTGGTTGTTTAACATGTCACCAAGGGTACAATCCAGAGGGTTGAGGAGGGATTGTTGAGGTGGTTTGAGCATGCAGTGGATGGCAAGGAATGGGATGACAGAGGGTGGTCAAATCTGGGAGGAAGGGGAGGGAGAGGTAAGGGAGATCCCAGGAATGGTTGGAGGTAAGGTTGTAAAGAAAGTTTCGAGTTCTACAGCCTTGAGCATCCTGCAGGCTTGTGCAAGCACAATAAGAGTGGAGAAAAGTGGTTTTTTTAAAGGGCAAACTGTTGGAGCATGAACAAAGTAACTTATGAAGGAATTCAGGAAAACTAGCTAGCCTGACTTTAGTCCTGAAGGTGAGAAGTGCAGTGCCTGCACTTTGAAGGAGGGGTGGAGATGTTGCAGCTTAGAGGGCCATCTGAACTGTGATGTTGGCTCACCTCTGGCAAGACAGTAATTGAATGAGTAACTGTTTCATCTTTCGGGCCACCCTACCCCAGTGGGAGATGGCTGGAGAGAAAAAATAAGTATTAAATATGAGACAAACAGAAGAGTAACAATCCTGCCCTAGTGCAAAGCATTTAACAGGGTTCTGTTTCACACACAAAAGAATCACAGTACTGCCAGGACAGCTGCTGCTTACAGATCTACAACTAATTGCTAATTTTTGGACTACATCCTTATTTGTCTATATAACAAAATCTATTATAAGCATAACCAAGATAAGCATGCTGCAAGTGCTTTACTAAGATAGCCAAAAAAAAAAAAAAAATAGTAAGGGCACTTAGTAGTAGTTAGTAGTATTCACAGCCAGCAATACAAACTAAAAGTGGGGAAGAAGTCAAAAAGAATTACTACACACACTGGGAAAAGTCACACAGCTTTTATAAGCTATATGTAAATGCTGCAGCAAGGAGGCAGCTGGAGGTGGTGGAGTTTTGAGATTCTCTGACCGCGGGATCAAACCCCACCCGTGGTATGGTTTCCTGTCTAAGGCTAATGTGTGGTGTAAATACAGTGGTACCTCGGGATACAAACTTATTTCGTTCCAGAAGGCTGCTCGAGTGCCGATACCGAACGAATTTGTTCCCATAAGGAATAATGTAAATTAGATTAATCCATTTCAGACCCCAAAAATACACTTACAAAAGCACTTACATAAGTACACTTACATAACTGTTCGAGTTTTGAGCTGTTCGTATCCTGAGGTACCACTGTATTATGCAGAGAATTCGGAGTGTGGAAATTAGGTGGTAGTGTGGAGTTACTAAAATTATTAATCAGAGGGCTGAAGAGAGGTTGTTGAGGTGGTTTGGTCATTTAGAGAGAATGGATCAAAGTAGAATGACTTGGAGAGCACATAAATCTTTAGGGAAAGGAAGGCAGGGTAGGGGTCGTCCTCAAAAAGGTTGGAGGGCGAGGGTAAAGGAGGTTGTGGCTTGGACTTCCAGCAAGCATGTGTGAGCATATCAGATAGGAGTGAATGGAGATGAATGGTTTTTGGGACCTGACGAGCTGTTGGAGTGTGAGCAGGCTAATATTTAGTGAAGGGATTCAGGGAAACCTGTTATTGTTATATAGCTGTACTTGAGTACTGGAAATGGGAAGTGCAATGCCTGCACTTTAAAGGAGGGGTTTGGGATATTGGCAGTTTGGAGGGGTATGTTACATATGCTTCTCAACTGTTGCATCTAGGCACCTCTGTAAAGACAGTGATTATGTGTGAGTGAGGTGAAATTGTTGAATGATGAAAGTATTTTCTTTTTGGGGATTTCCTTCTTTTTGGGTCACCCTGCCTCAGTGGAAGACAGCTGACTCAGAAAAAAAAAATGCCTAGAATACTGTACAGTATTTCAATTGTGACCCCAGAAGTAATTAAGTACTGTACAAAGTAAATTAATGTTTTTAACAGATTTTCAACCCGTTACATTGAAGCAAACTGAAGTTAGTGTATATAAAGTACATAAGTAAATATTGTACCATGTATTTCTTCAACTTCATTATTTAGCCAATCACAATTTTTTTATTAAAACTACCTTTAAGACATTGCTACCTGCCATCCTAACCCTTCAACCTTCTACTGAATTACTGAAGTAATTTTTACAATATGATGTTACAGTATTTAGATAAGGCTAAAGAGGTCTTTGTGGCATTTATGGATTTGGAAAAGGCGTATGACAGGGTGGATAGGGGGGCAATGTGGCAGATGTTGCAGGTGTATGGTGTAGGAGGTAGGTTACTGAAAGCAGTGAAGAGTTTTTACGAGGATAGTGAGGCTCATGTTAGACTACATAGGAAAGAGGGAAATTATTTCCCAGTAAAAGTAGGCCTTAGACAAGGATGTGTGATGTCACCCTGGTTGTTTAATATATTTATAGATGGGGTTGTAAGAAGTAAATGCGAGGAGGGTCTTGACAAGAGGCGTGGAGTTAAAAGATAAAGAATCACACATAAAGTGGGAGTTGTCACAGTTGCTCTTTGCTGATGACACTGTGCTCTTGGGAGATTCTGAAGAGAAGTTGCAGAGATTGGTGGATGAATTTGGTAGGGTGTGCAAAAGAAGAAAATTAAAAGTGAATACAGGAAAGAGTAAGGTTATGAGGATAACAAAAAGATTAGGTGATGAAAGATTGGATATCACATTGGAGGGAGAGAGTATGGAGGAGGTGAATGTATTCAGATATTTGGGAGTGGACGTGTCAGCGGATGGGTCTATGAAGGATGAGGTGAATCATAGAATTGATGAGGGGAAAAGGGTGAGTGGTGCACTTAGGAGTCTGTGGAGACAAAGAACTTTGTCCTTGGAGGCAAAGAGGGGAATGTATGAGAGTGTAGTTTTACCAACACACTTATATGGGTGTGAAGCATGGGTGATGAATGTTGCAGCGAGGAGAAGGCTGGAGGCAGTGGAGATGTCATGTCTGAGGGCAATGTGTGGTGTGAATATAATGCAGAGAATTCGTAGTTTGGAAGTTAGGAGGAGGTGCGGGGTTACCAAAACTGTTGTCCAGAGGGCTGAGGAAGGGTTGTTGAGGTGGTTCGGACATGTAGAGAGAATGGAGCGAAACAGAATGACTTCAAGAGTGTATCAGTCTGTAGTGGAAGGAAGGCGGGGTAGGGGTCGGCCTAGGAAAGGTTGGAGGGAGGGGGTAAAGGAGGTTTTGTGTGCGAGGGGCTTGGACTTCCAGCAGGCGTGCGTGAGCGTGTTTGATAGGAGTGAATGGAGACAAATGGTTTTTAATACTTGACGTGCTGTTGGAGTGTGAGCAAAGTAACATTTATGAAGGGGTTCAGGGAAACCGGAAGGCCGGACTTGAGTCCTGGAGATGGGAAGTACAGTGCCTGCACTCTGAAGGAGGGGTGTTAATGTTGCAGTTTAAAAACTGTAGTGTAAAGCACCCTTCTGGCAAGACAGTGATGGAGTGAATGATGGTGAAAGTTTTTCTTTTTCGGGCCACCCTGCCTTGGTGGGAATCGGCCAGTGTGATAATAAAAAATAAAAATGATGTTACAGTATCTACAAGTACCCTAGGTGCATATCTAATTAAAAAACATTTGAGTGCATCTCTAATTTTAAAAATGTCTAAGTAATGAATATTCCCAAGTTAAAAGTCCAGATTTCAAAGCTATTTTTACCTGTCAAGGAGTTGAAAGACCTGGAATCTGTAGTCTCCAAGTCTCCTAGTCAAATAAAAAAACCCAATTTCTTGAATCTGCTTTCTTGATCACTGCCTTTCACTAATCCCATAAAAATAAAAAGGTCTAAATACTTGTGATGCAGATAAACATCTCCCACATTGTAAATGAACAGCAAATAAATTTAAAAATTGTACATAAAATACAGGTAAATGTACATTAACACATAAGAACACAATAATTGTTTACTATTTCTGAGGAATTTATGAGAAAACGAAAAAAGTGAACTTTAATTATAGCCACTGTACTCTAAAGGAGGATTTTGGGATATTTGCTATTTCGAGTGATATCTGAATTGTGTCTGCACACCTCTGGCAAGACAGTGATAGTAAGAATGATAGTGAAAGTGTTTCTTTTTCGTGTCACCCTGCCTCAGTGGGAGACAGCCAGCATGTTAAAAAAACATGAGATATAAACTACCACGATAGTAGTGGTGACTCAGAATAACTTATACTGAGTCAGAGAAGCTGTAAAGCTCTGCTAGTGACAATGTAGATGTATGGGAAGACTTTCCACCAAGACACCAGACTTCTTATTAATTCAAACTTCTGCTTAACACTGAGAAGCATACATTTCCTATTGGTGCTATTACTTGGTTTAGCAGCCGATATTATTTCAGCTTCCAATACTGATGCTCTACAACTTATTTCTGGATTACAGCTGAAGCTTGCAATAACACCATAGTATATGAAAAAAGAATAATTACTAACAAATTAAAATAGCAATCATTATAAACAATCAAACAGCACTGTTAGTGATATAGCCTAATTCTCCACATCACCAAATAACACTCTGGGATGTATGCAACTTTATAATATCAAGCTGGGCCAAGTGCACGTATCCCACCTCAGTGATGCAAATTCACTCATGAATAAGCAGCTTCTAAAGTAACTAGTAGACAAATTATGCAAACTGTAAATGTGATGTGACATTTGGTATGAGCCTAAGTAAAAATTAAGTTCTACATATGGCCTTCAGAAATAATACAGATGCAAAATGAAAAAAAAAAATAAATTGTCTCCTACCTGCTGTTACTGGCTGAGATGATTTAACTTCAACTTCAGTGTGGATCTTCTTCAGCTCCTCACCAGCAGTGTAATAGGTTACTTGTGTCTTCACCTCATGACTTTGCACTTCCTGGCAATGAAAAAAAGTGAAGCTATCAACACATACCCAGAACCTATTGTCAACTTGACTAATTGTAAACCTCATGTATTCACACATTTTTGCAGAGGATAAAGCAGCAGGTAAAGGAACCTTTTACAGGTGATCAGTATCTCCCAACTGTTCTTACCCATCCTATATTCTCTCATATTCCTCCCTCTTTTTCATCCTTATTTCTTTTCTGTTCACTCGTCCTCTTCCCTCTACCCAAAAACAATTCTCCAGATATAAAAAAAGCAAAAATGCTAAATTAACTTTGAATTGAAATTCCTTGTGTGCTTCGAGCTCAAAATTATAGGACAAAAATACCACAAGAGGGACATTTTTACTAGGCACTATATAATGCTTCTAATTTATTTGACACTCTTGTTAATATATTTACATAAACTTATTCTTTATTTAAATCTACTACTGTCAGTTGTTTTATGCTACTTGAGCCTTGTGTAAAAGGGGGAAAAATTAATTACAGAGCAGTCCCACACAGTCCAGAAGATATGCAGATACACTCAACAAACTACTAACCCCTTCACTGTCGGAACTCCCAAATTTAAGTGCTGACATTACTGGGAAATAAAAAGATTTCTGAAAAGGTGGAGAATCTATTTCTGAAGAAATCTGATGGAAAACTTACAAAATTATGCAGGTACAAAGTTGGTAATATGGGCGCAATTTACACATCAGCGATTTTGCCCGAGTCCAATTCTAAGCCAATGCCATTGTTCAATTTGACTTAACTTTTAGCTATTTTACTAGTATGCCTTCTGTTCTATCAATTGAGCATAAGAAACTGCCCATTTAACTATCCATAATACCCTATAAGTGCACAGAAGTCAGTAGTTTCGCCAATTTTACACAATTAAAAAAATTTAAAATTAAAAAAAAACAGAGCCCAAAACAAACTGTAGGCATTCCAGCCGCTAAAGTAACACTTTCTGTTCAATAATCATGTCCTCAGGCCTCTCCAATAATACACTTGCCCCCATTTTGAATTCATTACACGCATAAAAAAAATTAAGTTTTACCCTATTTCTCAGATAATAAAATACATTCAGGAATGATTGGTCACAGTTTAGGGCATTCAAAAAGGTAAAGCAAACCTAGTAAAATCCCATAAAACAAACTGAGGGGTAAGGAAGTATATGCACCTGGAGAAGAGAGAAGTGTAGAGGAGAGAGAGAGAGAGAGAGAGAGAGAGAGAGAGAGAGAATTTTGGGAAATGTTGAGTGAATGCATGGGGAGTTTTGAACCAAGTGAGAGAGTACTTGTGGTTGGGGGTTAGAAAAGTCGTATGAGAATAAAAAAAAAAAAGTTTGATACTTTAATGAAAATTCTACTTACATTTTCATTCTTTTTACCAGAGTGCCTCTTATGACCTGACTTGTCATGAAGATCTGAAGTCTTGCGTTTAAAATTACGGCCAGATCTGAGGCGAGATTCTTCCAGCTCGTCCTCTTCAGTTATGTCCATTTGTGATACATCAAGGATGGTATCTGCAAAATGAAAGTGTGATTATTTGGTCCAGTACTGCTTTATATTTCAAATCAAAAAGCATTCAGCACCCTGTTTTACTTGTGCTTTACCTGTGACCAATTTCAAGGGCTTTTCAACCCCCACAGCCCAGCCTAGTCCAGGCTTTCCTGCTGAATGTCTGGTCAGCCAGGCTGTCTGTGCTAGCGGCCTACAGGCCTACACAGCTATCACAACCTGGTTGATCCAGCACTTGCTGAAGGAAACTGTCCAGCTACTTGAAAAGTGATTAAAATTAATCACACAGTATTGATTGTGTTAAATCTTGATTGTGTTAAACTAGTAATATGTAAAGGATTCCCAAACTGCATTTTTTCTTTATTTTCATTAAAAAATTTATCAGATTGTTCTATTGCAAAGTATACTTACCTGCTGAATTGTTATCTTCAGTGATGGTAGATAAAGGACCAGGAGAGTGATCTCTTGTGGTGCGGCGCTGATCTGTTCCACCAATAAAACTGAAAGAATTCTGAAGTTGAATCAGCTTCTCCCTCGTCTCGTTGACTTGACCTCGCCCAAGAAGGTCCATTACCAAGCCAATCTGTCCAGCCTTATCAAAATAAATTTCAATTACTTTTTTTTTTCAACAAGTTGGTCATCTCTGAGAGGCAGGGTGACCCAAAAAGAAAATAAATCCCCAAAAAGAAAATATTTTCAACATCATTCAACACTTTCACCTCACTCATACATAATAACTGTTTTTGTAGAGGCGCCCAGACACAACAGTTTAAAAGCATATAAAAATATATATAACATATCCCTCCAAACTGCCAATATCCTAAACCCCTCCTTTAAAGTCCAAGCATGATACTTCCCAACATGACTCAAGAAATCGTAATGACACGATTGCAAATAAACCATACCCCCGGCCGGGATTGAACCCGCGGTCATAGAGTCTCAAAACTCCAGCCCGTCGCGTTAGCCACTAGACCAGCTAGCCACAATAAGATTCATCCAACTAGGTATATTTCTACACCATAGGAAAGTTAGCACAGGCACCTCTGTGACCACAAATGCAAGTTTTTACAGACGAATCTCCAGCTAGCGTGGCCGTGACGAACTCTAGCTCAAGTCCCTTCACTGCCGTCAACATGACTCAAGAAATCGTAATGACACGATTGCAAATAAACCATACCCCCGGCCGGGATTGAACCCGCGGTCATAAAGTCTCAAAACTCTCAACTCTCAAAACTCCAGCCCGTCGCGTTAGCCACTAGACCAGCTAGCCACAATAAGATTCATCCAACTAGGTATATTTCTACACCATAGGAAAGTTAGCACAGGCACCTCTGTGACCACAAATGCAAGTTTTTACAGACGAATCTCCAGCTAGCGTGGCCGTGACGAACTCTAGCTCAAAGTCCATTCACTGCCGTCAACATGACTCAAGAAATCGATAATGACACGATTGCAAAATAAACCAACCCCCGGCCGGGATTGAACCGCGCGTCATAGAGTCTCAAAACTCCAGGCCCGTCGCGTTAGCCACTAGACCAGCTAGCCACAATAAGATCATCCAACTAGGTATATTCTACACCATAGAAAGTTAGCACAGGCACCTCTGTGACCACAAATGCAAGTTTTTACAGACGAATCTCCAGCTAGCGTGGCGTGACGAACCTCAGCTCAAGTCCCTTCACTGCCGTCAACATGACTCAAGAAATCGTAATGACACGATTGCAAATAAACCAAAACCCCCGGCCGGGATTGAACCCGCGGTCTAGAGTCCAAAACTCCAGCCCGTCGCGTTAGCCACTAGACCAGCTAGCCACAATAAGATTCATCCAACTAGGTATATTTCTACACCATAGGAAAGTTAGCACAGGCACCTCTGTGACCACAAATGCAAGTTTTTACAGACGAACTCCAGCTAGCGTGGCGTGACGGAACTCTAGCTCAAGTCCCTTCACTGCCGTCAACATGAACTCAAGAAATTCGTAATGACACGATTGCAAAAAACCATACCCCGGCCGGATTGAACCGCGGTCATAGAGTCTCAAACTCCAGCCCGTCGCGTTAGCACTAGACCAGCTAGCCACAATAAGAGTTCATCCAATAGTACATTTCTACACCATAGGAAAGTTAGCACAGGCACCCTGTGACCACAAATGCAAGTTTTTACAGACGAATCTCCAGCTAGCGTGGCCGTGACGAACTCTAGCTCAAGTGAAGGACTTGAGCTAGAGTTCGTCACGGCCACGCTAGCTGAGATTCGTCTGTAAAAACCTTGCATTTGTGGTCACAGAGGTGCCTGTCTAACATTCCTATTGTGTAGAAATATACCTATTTGGATGAATCTTATTGTGGCTAGCTGTCTAGTGGCTAACGCGACGGGCTGGAAGTTTTGAGACTCTATGACCGCGGGTTCAATCCCGGCCGGGGGTATGGTTTATTTGCAATCGTTGTCATTACGATTTCTTAGTCATGTTGACGGCAGTGAAGGGACTTGAGCTAGAGTTCGTCACGGCTACGCTAGCTGGAGATTCGTCTGTAAAAAACTTGCATTTGTGGTCACAGAGGTGCCTGTGCTAACTTTCCTATGGTGTAGAAATAACCTATTGGATGAATCTTATTGTGGCTAGCGGGTCTAGTGGCTAACGCGACGGGCTGGAGTTTTGAGACTCATGCCCGGGTTCAATCCCGGGGGGGGTAGGGTTTATGTTACTTCCCTTTCCATCTCAAGCCACAATATAAAAATAACCATTTTTCCCTGAATCCCCACAAATATACCCTGCCACACTCCAATAGCTCGCAGGTCCCAAAAAACATTCATCTCCATTCACTCCACTAACACGCTCAAGCAGCTTGCTGGAATCCAAGGCCCCCGTCCAAAAAACCTCCTTTACCCCCCCTCCCCCAAAACCTTTAAAAGGACGACCCCTACCCCTCTCCAAGTCATTCTACTTTGATCCTTTCTCCCCAAAATTCCCAAAACCAACTCACCAACCCCTTTTCAGCCCTGTACTAATATACTTTAATTACCCTACACCTCCTTTTTTTCCACACTCCAAATTTTCTACATAATATTTACCCAAAACAAGGGGGGAAATTTTGAGGAATTGTTAAATTTTATGGAGATGGGGAAAGCTGTGATTTCGGTATAGGCAAGGGGGAATAACATCTTGTAGGGGAAAGGAAGCCCCGTTGTAGGGGGGGAATTTCTGAGGCAGTGGGAAAAAATGAAAGGGGTAAGGCAGCGGGATGATGGATAAAGATAGAAGTTAAAACAGGGGGGGATAAGTTTTGGAGGGTTGGTAAAATATTTAAAAAATGATAAGAGGGTAAGGCCCCTAGGGATGGCAAGAGCACATAGTTCCTTTGTATAAAGGAAAAGGGGGATAAAAAGATGAAAAAATTTATAGGGGATAAGTCTTGAGTATCCCGGGTAAAGTGATGGTAGAGTTATAATTGAAAAATTAAGATAAGACGAAATGGAACAGATAACAAGGAGGCTTTGGGAAAAAGGTAGGGGTGTGTGGCCCAGGTTTTACGTGAAACATATAATGAACAAAATTTAGATAAGGCAAAGAGCTTTGTGGCTTTTATGGATTTGGAAAAGGCATATGACGGGGTGATGGGGGGGCAATGTGGCAAATTTTTGCAAGTGTATGTGTGGGAGGTAGGTTACTGAAACAGTGAAGAGTTTTAAACGGATAGTGAGGCTCAATTAGAGTTTAGGAAAAGGGGAAATTTTTTCCCAGTAAAATGGGCCCTTTAGACAAGGATGTTGATTCACCGTGGTTTTTTAAAATATATTTATAGATGGGGTTGAAAGAGAAGTAAATGCAGGGTCTTGGGCAAAGGCGGGGGTTTAAAAGTAAAGAATCACACACAAAGTGGAGTTGTCACAGCTGTTTTTGCTATACACTTCTCTGGGAGATTCTGAAAGAAGTTGGCAGAGATTGGGGATGAATTTGGTGGGGTTGCAAAAGAAAAAATTTAAAAGGGTAATACAGAAAGTAAGGTTATAGGATAACAAAAAGATTGGGTGATGAAAGTTTGAATATCAGTTTGGGGGAGAGAGTATGGGGGAGGTGAACATTCAATTTTTGGGAGTGGACTGTCGCAGAGGGGTCTATGAAGATGAGTGAACATAGAATTGATGGGGGAAAAAGAGTGAGGGGTGCACTTGGGGGCTGGGAGACAAAGAACTTTGTCCTTGGAGGCAAAGGGGGGAAAAGATAGAGTAAGTTTTTACCAACGCTCTTATATGGGTGTGAAGAAATGGGTGATGAATGTTGCAGCGAGGAGAAGGCGGGAGGCAGGGGAGATGTCATGTCTGGGGGCAATGTGTGGTGTGAATATAAATCAAGAATTCGTATTTTTGGGAATTAGGAGGAGGTGCGGGATTCCCAAAAACCCTGTTGTCCACAGGCTGGGGAAAGGGGTTGTTGAGGGGGTTCGGACATGTAGAGAGAATGGAGCGAAACAGAATGACTTCAAGAGTGTATCAGTCTGTAGTGGAAGAAGGCGGGGTAGGGGTCGGCCTAGGAAAGGTTGGAGGGGGGGGGTAAAGGAGGTTTTGTGTGCGAGGGGCTTGGACTTCCAGCAGGCATGCATGAGCGTGTTTGATAGGAGTGAATGGAGACAAATGGTTTTTAATACTTGACGTGCTGTTGGAGTGTGAGCAAAGTAACATTTATGAAGGGATTCAGGGAAACCGGCAGGCCGGACTTGAGTCCTGGAGATGGGAAGTACAGTGCCTGCACTCTGAAGGAGGGGTGTTAATGTTGCAGTTTAAAAACTGTAGTGTAAAGTACCCTTCTGGGAATCGGCCAGTGTGATGATAATAAAAAAAAACAATGCCCTTAGACAGGACACCACTGCCTGCAACCGCCTCCTTGCTGCAGCATTTACAATCTAAGCTTCACACCCATGTAAGAGAGTTGGTACTACTATATTTTCATACATTCCTTTCTTTGCCTCCATAGACCGTTTTTTGTCTCCACATATACCTCAACGCACCACTCACCTTTTTTCCTTCATCCATTCTATGGTTAACCTCATCCTTCATAAACCCATCCGCTGACATGTTAACTTCCAAATATCTGAAAGCATTCACTTCCTCCATACTCCCTCTCTCCAATGTGACATCCAATTTTTATCTAAATCATTTTGATACCCTCATCACCTTACTCTTATCTATGTTCACTTTCAACTTTCTACCTTTACACACCCTCCCAAACTTGTCTACTAACCTTTGCAACTTTTCTTTAGATCTTCCCTGGAGTTACCTGGAGAGAGTTCCGAGGGTCAACGCCGCCGCGGCCCGGTCTGTGACAAGGCCTCCTGGTGATCAGAGCCTGATCAACCAGGCTGTTACTGCTGGCTGCACGCAAACCAACGTACGAGCCACAGCCCGGCTGGTCAGGAACCGACTTTAGGTGCTTGTCCAGTGCCAGCTTGAAGACTGCCAGGGGTCTGTTGGTAATCCCCCTTATGTATGCTGGGAGGCAGTTGAACAGTCTCGGGCTCCTGACACTTATTGTATGGTCTCTTAACATGCTAGTGACGCCCCTGCTTTCATTGGGGGGATGTTGCATCGTCTGC